TGAATCCAGCCAGGATTATAATTGTCTTTGTACCAACGCAGTCACAAAATATAATTTTTTCTGTTCTGTTTTTAAAGGAAAGGGCCCACAAAACTTGTAATGCTGCCTTGTAGCGGGCAGCGGGGTCCAGAGAAATACTGCAGATGTCCTGACAAGGTTATATAGTTGCTGTTATTGATGAGAATGTAGGAATCACCTCATTCTCAATAATAAAGAATAATTTTTTCTTCTGGCTGGAACATTATGTCGTCATGAAAAATAAAGTGTGAAGGATAAATTAGACCAAGGGGAATCCCCAGAGAAGGCATGTGGACATCAGTCCTGGATTTCGCCCTGGGATTACCTCTGTGGGGAATTCACCTGGGATGAGGCCAGGAAGGGAAGAGGAAAAGGCAAATGTGATATGTTAGGCTGGTGGAATGGAGCATAGGCCTCACTGCCCCTTTTTTTTCCCATGCAACACCTAATTTCCTTTGTAAAGTGATTTATTCCCCTTTACCCACTCCCATTCCCTGCCCACATAGACATCATTCTGATGCGCTCCCCCCCACCCCGCAAATGAGCATTCTTTGGCATACTCCTGGTGTTTTTAATTTGTGTTAATGATATTGTATTAATATCTCTATTTCTTACATTTTCACTAAGAGCTGTGTGTTTAAGATCCACCCCAGTTGCTGTGTGTCCATGGACACACAATAATTACCTCTCTACTCTCCCAGCAGTGGACACCCTGCTTTGCCACCAACTCCCATTATCCACAGATAATGCAACACATGTCATCGGTGGAGTCCTTTCTAGACCAGTAAATGTTTCCCTGGGGTAAATAACCAGGAGCGGGATGGTTGGCTCAGCAGCGGCACCTCACTTTTCTCCAGGCAGCGAAACCTACACGCTCCCCACCTCCCACAATGCACGGGGGAGCCTGGTACCCTTGACCCCACCAGCAGCTGATATTCTCTCCCTTCCTGATGTTTGCCAGTTTCATAGAGGGACAATGAGATCTCGCTGTCATTTAACGTGCCTCTCTCTGATTACTAATGATTTTAAATGTGTCTTCATGTGCTAATGTGTTAGTTTTAGGCGTTTCCTCCTCTGAAACTGTCTTTTAAAACCTCAGACCATTTTTCTTTATTGGGGAAGTATCGTTTGGATTGCAGGACTTCCAGATGTTAATCCCTGGTTTCAGATGCTGCAAATACCTCCCCCCATTCTGCCACATGTCTTCTAACATCGCCCATGCTGACCTACATTAAACAGAAAACCTTAATTTTGATGTAATTAAATTTATCAGGTTTTGGTTTGATAAATTTGGTTTTGTGCTTATGAAATTTTGTTTGAGAAATCCTTCCTTGCACTTAAGTCACAAAAATATTTTCCTATGTTAACTTTATAATTCTGCCATCCCATTTAGACCTTTACTCTGCCTGGAGCCCATCTCTGTATGTGGGGTTAAGTAAGGATTTTGTTTTATTTTTCCCCCATACAATGAGCTAATTTTCCAATACCACCGTCAGACCATTCGTCCCTTCTTTGTGATGTCACTCTTGTCGTGTATTAAATCCCCCAGGTGCACACGTGTCTGCCGCTGAGCCCTCTGTTCTGTTCCACTGGTCTTCATGCCTATCCCTGCACAGACTCCATGGTGAATTTACCACTATGGCCTTGTAAAATCTTTATATCTGCAGGTCAGTTCTTCTTTCTATGTCCTTTTTCATTAAGGGTGACTTAGCTATTTGAGGACTATATGCCTTAATATAAATTTTAGAATAAGATTTAGAAAGTCTAAAAATATCATTTAGAATGTTTACTGGCATCACATTGTATTCATAGATCAATTTGTGAAGAACTCTTATCTTTTGATATTGTTACCTCTCTGAAAGCACAGAGCAAGTAGGTCTTCTTATTTCCTGTCTATTTGTTAGATTGTAATGGAAAAAATACTAGGAATGAAGAAATTGAGGCAGAATAGAGAGAACCAGGCAGGGAACCACGGTGAGGGGACACTCTTCCTGCAGCACACAGATGACCACTGCAATCCAGAGCCTGATAAAGTGTCAGCCAAGGCCAAGCTCTGGCTTAGTCACATTCACGCTGGGCCAGGTGGGCAGCCGTCTTAGCCAGTATCTCATTTAATCATCAGCCCTGTCAGGCAGCTACTGCCATCCCTGCTTTACAGATTCAGTAAGTGGGGAATTGGTCCAAGGCAAAGAATCTGGACCAGGCAGGCTGACCTAAGAGTCCATGCTCTTAACCATGGTGCTATCCACCTCCCAGGCTGCTCTTGTGATGCTTCAGTGACAGGGGAACCCTGTCTATCCACGCTGGACCTTGGGGTGTATTTTTGCCACAGCCCTCCCTGGCCTTAGCACGTGCTCCACTTGGCACTTGGAGCCACTTTTGCAGTGACTTCAGGCAATGAGGGACCCCAGCCCCTCTGCCCCTGCCTGGCCCTGGGGTGGAGAGCCAGGCAGAGAAAAGGACATCCGTACTATTAGCTACGCTCCCCGTCTGCCCTCCGCATCTGCACCTGGAAACGCAGCCCATCCGGCACTTGTTGTTCTGTTGGTCGCACATACCACTGAGCGCGTCTTAATGAGAAAGCAAGGAAGAAGCAAGAAAAAGCCACCACCCAGGATTTCCCTTGAGACTCAGGGGTCAGGGATGAGGTGATAATTCTTAAACCCATGGAGACCCCAGCTCTAGTGTTGGCCCAGCTTACAGGGTGGTCTTGGGTGGGTCCCTGGGCCTCTCTTGGCCTCCATTTCGTCCTCCCCACCCAGGGCTGGTCCACTTGGCAGAGAATCTGGAAGGGAGCTTTAAACTTCACACCCTCCCAGTTTACAAACAGGTTGCAGAAGCTCACAGTCTGCTTTACACCCAGGTTTTCTTTAAGCCAAGGGGGGTCCTCAGGGAGCAAACTAACTCCTGCTGACTTAGTGCTGGGCACTTTACTCTTGTCACCTCACTTAATGCTCTCAGGATAAGGCAAGGACTCAATGAGCCCCATCTTACATAGGGTGAAACTGAGGTTCAGAGAGGTGCGGTGACAGGCCCAGGGTCACACAGGCCCTAAGCAGCAGAGCTAGGATTTGAACCCAGGCCTGTCAGACACTGGAGCAGTGTTCTGAGGACAGGTTAGTAAACCTGAGACTTTGGGGTAAGGTTGCTGAGAACTTCAGTGTGAGAAACGGCTGTTTGTGAAGATAATCCCCGAAACCCACCAAGTTTGCCCACAAAAACTGATAATGTGGCTCAACTGTCGCAATGTCCACACTCTAAGATTTCCCTTCCCGGAACACAGTGACTTGCATAAACCAAGGGTCCCGGGCCTCCTTTCTTTCATCTGTTTGCTAGGTGGGAGGAGGGAGAAGGGGAATCCAGTCCAGGGCATCTGGGGGTAAGAGGCAGGCTTCTCACCTGTAGAAGGTGCCTGACCATCTGCAAAGCACACTGGGAAGGGTGGGGTTTGGGGAGGGAGGGTGAGCTGTCCCAGTAGTAAGTTAGGGCTGAAGTGCACGGTGGATGTATGGGGACGGGGATGGATACCAGTGCCCTGCCCTCCTGGTTGGGCCAGGCCAGGGGGCCAGTGTGTCTCTTCATCTGTCCGTCTCTCTCCTTTTGTTTTCTTTCTTTGTGGCAGTTCACCTGTTAATTCTTTCTCTCTCTCTCTCTCTCTCCATCTCTCTATCTCTGTATCCCTACTTCTGTCTCTACTGTCTCTGCCTCTTTTTTGCTTCCTACTGAGGAAACCAGTGGTTTCGAAACCAAGCCCAGCCACTGGAAGTGACAAACCCAGCTGGGTCTGGCCTGAGGCATTCCCCTGGCTCAGGGCCCTGTCAGGCTGGTGCCAAACTCACACCTCCATCGAGGGCCAACTAATATTTATTCAGGGCCTGCCAAACGTGCCAGGCTCGGGCTGGGCTGAACCGGTGAGCATGAGCGAGCAAAGCTGTCAAAGAGCCCGCCTGCTCTATAGGAGCTCAGACTTCAGAAGAAATGCCCACCCTCTCTCTGCTCAGCCCACACCCCCCTGCCCTCGGCCCTGGCTCCTTAGGCCTCAGATGTGCAGCGCCCCGCCCCGCCCTCCCCCACCTGAGACAGATAAGAAGTCAGGTCACCCGTGGGGCGGGCCAGAGTGGGGAACAGGGGCTTGCTTGAGGTATCCCACCTACTGAGTAAGTGGCGTTCTTTGATATTCGGTGTCCCCAACACTTGGAGGGCTGGCAGCCCCCTGCCAGGTAGGGAGTCTTCCATGAGGATGGGCCCTGGTGAGAGTCGCTGAGACCAGGGGCAGCCTGGGTGGGAGGACCAAACCCCACTCCACCCCCCCCCCCCC